GAGAGACGAGACGGAGAGACGAGAGAGACAGAGAGAGAGGAGGCACGACGACGACGCAGCAAACGAGGAACGGGAGACCAGTCAGGACGAGAGGGACGGAGAGAGAGAAGAGAGCAGAGAGAGACGAGAGCCTGAGAGTGAGGAGAGCACGTGAAAGAGGAGAGAGAAGGAGGACAAAGACGAGAAGTCATCCAGCAGAGCAGGGAGAGAGAGAAGAACGAACGGAGACGGAGCAAGACGAGAGACGCACACGAAAGACCCAGAGACGCACGGAGCGCGTGAGACGCCCGCAGTGAGGCGAGAGGCGAAGCCAGAGAGCGCCGCAGCACGAGGAGAAGAGAAGGAGAGGCAGAGACGAGAGAGAGAGCAGAGGAAAGTGACTCCGAGCAGACGTGCAGAGACGAGGGCGAGGAGAGGGAGAGACAGAGAGACGCTGCGCATAGAGAGTGAGAGCAGAAGCAGAGAGAGAGTGAGAGCAGAGCAGTGAGAGGCGTGAGAGAGAGTGACGAGAGAGCAGACCGTGAAGAGAGACGAGGCCGCAGAGAGCACACAGGAACGCAGAGAAGCTGAAGAGTGAGCAGAGAGGGAGAGAGAGAGGAGAGACCGCAAGCACGAGAGAGAGAAGAGAGTGAGCATGCAGAGAGGAAGACGATGAGAGACGAATGGGCAGAGACCCTGGCCTCCGCTGAGAGCAGAGAGAGAGAGACCGTCGCAGCCAGTGTGTGTATGCAGAGAGAGAGAAGAGAGACCCGAGCAAGAAGACCGACAGAGAGAGAGAGGCCACAGAGAGGGAGAAGTAGAAAGGAATAGAGCAGAGCAGAGAAGAGCAGAGAGAGAGTAAGTTGAAGTGACGTGATGTTGCAGGGACGTGCAGAGCAGAGAGGAGGAGAGGAAGAGAGAGAGACGAGAGAGAGTGCAGCTGCAGTCGCAGGTCGAGTGATCAGTGTAGGAGAGGAGAGAGAGCAGACGAGAGCGTGCAGAGCAGAGCAGAGAGAGGACGCGACCCGAGATGAGACGAGAGAGAGCAGCCTGCGATATAAAAAACGCGCCGTCTGCCTTTAATGCCATTTTCCTCAGACAGAAACAAATAGACAGACGCGAGATTAAATCATTTAATCGGGCCATCGAAATCTCGTTCTCTGTGGTTTCTGTCTGTCTGTCTGTTCGTCTGGTACGTTACTATAGCGACAACAGCGCGCACGTGTTGACACGCGTGGTTGTTCAGCCGACAGCCTACGAAAGCGCACCAGGCTCGGCGCGCCAGCCCAGCCTGGGCAGAGACATATTGAAGCCGCTCAAGGACGCTTCTCGCAACTCCACCGACCGAGAAGATTTCAATTTACGATCATTTTCCGAAATTGCCGCCACGCGGCGCTGATGGCGATGACGCGCGAACGCTGCTTGCTACCTTTGACATGTATTAGAACTGCGCTGTAATAGGCGTCAATGTGGGGTAGGGTAGGGCAAGGGTAGGGTAAGCCGGCTTAGGCCGTAGGGTATCGGTAAGCGCGTAGCGGTAGGGTAGGCTAGGGTAGCGGTAGCGGCTAGGTAGGTAAGGTAACGGCTAGGGTAGGGCTAGCGTTAGCCGGTAGGGCTAGGCGCGTAGCGGCTAGCGCGCTAGGCGTAGGGATACGCGGGTCTAGCGGCTACGCGGTAATGCTAGGTAGGGCTAGGCGGTAGCGGCAGGGCGACGTTAGGGCTACAATGTAGGGCTTAGGCTAGCGGTAATCGGCCTAGGGGTAGCCGCGTAGCATGCTAGGGGCTAGGGTAGCGGTAGGTAGATGGTAGGTAGGGTAGGCGCTTAGGGTCACGGTAGCGGTAGGCGATAGGGTAGGGATAGGGGTAGCGGTAGCGGTAGGCTGGTAGGGTAGGGTAGGTAGGCGCGTCGGGCTAGGCGTCGGGCTAACGGTAGGGTTCTAAGGTAGCGGCTAGCGTAGGTTAAGGAGTAGAGCTAGGGCTAGCGTAGCGTTAGCGCCTGCGTACGGGCTTTAGCGGCTAGGAGTAGCGTAGGGCTAGCGGTAGGGTAGCGCCGTGAGCCGGTAGGGCTAGCCGGCTAGCGGTACGGATAGCGGGGGCACGCATTCATCGCCTAGGGCTACTCTACGCATAACCCGGGGTCTCCTCGTTTGGTGGGGTGGTGGGGTATGTGTTGTTTTTTTGGCGGTGTGTTGTTGTTTGGATAGCATACCTAGGGGTAGGCGGTCAGGCGAATAGGTTAGGCGTACGCGGGCTGAGCGGTAGCGTCAGGCGATAGGGTAGGGGTAGGGATAGCGGTTAGCGGAGGGATAGGCAGGCGCAGCGGCTAGCGTCAGGGCTAGCGCCTCTAGCGGTTAGCGCGCGTAGGTTTATAGCGCGGTTAATGTGTATCAATTCAAACCGTCTGTAATTAGCAATTAGTTGTGGCATAAATAGCAGTTGTGTCGCAGCCCTCGCCCCCACGCCACGCAACTCATTGCCGCACACGCGAGTCACCGCGCGCACACACACACCACACACATACACGCTACACCATACACCACACACCGCGCGCCGCGCGCCCACGCCACACACCACCATACACACACACACACAGCACACACACACACACACACCACACACGCCACACACACACCGACGTACACATAACACACACACGCGCCGCGACATACACACACACGCCACGCCGCCGCACCGCACACACGATATACACACACACACACACACACACATACACACACCACACACGCCACACACACACACACACACACACATCACAGCTGGATGAAATTAGCTAGATGCTATAATCCTTACCTTGACGGTCGTCTTCGTGTCGTACTTGAATGACTTCGTCTGCCCGTTTTCTAAGAACACCTTTAGAACGTTGGGCATGAAGGGGACGCACCGCTCTCACATATCTCGGACGGCTGAAAGTAGGACATCCGATATACTTAAATACCTGTGCTGCGTGCGAGCGGCGCCGCGAGCGCTTTCTACTCTCTCTCTCTCTCTTTCTTGTCTCTCCCTCTCTCCTCTCGCCTCTCTCTCTCTCTCTCTCTTCTCTCTCTCTCTCTCTCTCTCATCTCTCTCTCTCTCTCGTCTCTCTCTCTCTCTCTCTCTGTCTGTCTGTCTCTGTCTGTCTCTCTCTCTCTCTTCTTTCTTTCTTTCTCCGTTTGTCTCTCTCTCTCTCTCTCTCTCTCTCTCTCTCCTCTCGCTCTATCTCCCCCTCTCTCTATTTAAACGTGTGAACATCATATGTGTGCATCTCCATCAGCGTAAATACGGTTGGCAGTGAATAGCAGGAGGTATAATGAACCTGTAGAACCTAACTTATCTCGCTTCGGTAAAATGTAATCTCCGATGGAAACCTCAAGAAATTTACACGAGTTGGACATTCATTTCTTTAACAATCCACGTTAGATCGCGCCGGTGGGCAGGGTGGCTCCAAAAAATGCGATCATACATCGAAAGACGATGTGTATTAACGTTAGTATCACAGCATGGTCCGGATAACCGTACATGCAGCTCGCTAAACGCGTATCTCACACCCTCACTCGCCGGTCTAGTATTGTACACACCCCCGTTATTGCAAACGCCCCCTCCTACATTTCACAAGGGCAATGAAGGTGAAATCCCTACGCGCATGCGCAATGCGTGAATCGCGTTGCTAGACATTCCCATGCGCATGCGCAACGGAGAGGGGGAGCGTTTGTCATGAAGGGGGGATATGTACCACGCTACACAGGTCATCGTCTCTACATAGGCGACGCTGTACATAGACACGTAGAGGAAGCCATCGTAATGACGGACACGCTGAGACTAACGCGATCACATCACTGTTCGATCACATCACTGTGCGATCGATCACTGTTCGATCACATCACTGTTCGATCACATCACTGTTCGATCACATCACTGTTCGATCACATCACTGTTCGATCACATCACTGTTCGATCACATCACTGTGCGATCGATCACTGTTCGATCACATCACTGTTCGATCACATCAATGTGCGATCGATCACTGTTCGATCACTGTTCGATCACATCACTGTGCGATCGATCACTGTTCGATCACATCACTGTGCGATCGATCACTGTTCGATCACATCAATGTGCGATCGATCACTGTTCGATCACATCACTGTGCGATCGATCACTGTTCGATCACATCACTGTGCGATCGATCACTGTTCGATCACATCACGGTGCCGATCGATCACTGTTCGATCACATCACTGTGCGATCGATCACTGTTCGATCACATCAATGTGCGATCGATCACTGTTCGATCACATCACGGTGCGATCGATCACTGTTCGATCACATCACGGTGCCGCGCGCTATCGCACCCCACGGACATCAGCGAGGCGTATCACAACGTAATATCCTAATACGTATATCGGTGGCGACCACCCATCAGGCAGCTTATAATTACACACGCTAGAGGGGGCCACACACGCAGACACAGTACGTGTGTGAGTCCGCATTAGTGTGTCTGCTAAACCCTCTTGGTCCTACATCGAAGGGTTTGTATGTCCTTATATTATAGAAGGGTATAGGGCGCCACGGGACATGCACATATTATAGAATAGTTGGACGTCTATATATTCATGGTTTCAGTACCACGGTTACTTGCCGTTATTAGTAGTTTAAACGCCACGGGCCTTATAATGTTTCCCGTATATATTAGGAGATATATTAGGAGAGGCCGCATAAAGGAATAGTTAGCCACACATATTAGTAGTTTCAACGCCACGGGCGATGCATAGAAAGGTGCTCCTTTATCATGTGATAATACGCTACATAATTATGTGGACGCTGTGTAGTGAGGTTGCCTGTCCGTAGGTGAGTACCATAGAGTAGTCGCCATGATCATATATCAGTAGCATCATCAACGCCGTCGGTACGGTTGACTACTCATGTTAGCATAGTAGCATTGCTCTATAGACAATAGAGTAGTCGCCATGATCATATATCAGTAGCATCATCAACGCCGTCGGTACGGTTGACTACTCATGTTAGCATAGTAGCATTGCTCTATAGACAATGTGTATGCCTACATATTACTGGTTGGAACGATACGGGCCGTATGATAGAATAGCTTCCTGCCAATATGATTACAATATAAATGCCACGCGAACTGTTAATCATAAGTGTATTGTTAACTGCCCCCCCACGCACGCCACGAGCCCACCACACACGCGCGCGCACGGTACACACACACACACTCACACCACGCACGCCACGCACGCAGCCCGCACACACACATACACGCCACGCGCACGCACGCACGCGAGCACACACACGCGCGCGCGCGTACAGCACGCACACCACATACGCACACACACACGCACGCACGCACGCACGCACGCACGCCACACACGCACGCACGCACCGCACGGAAGACACACACAGCGCGCGCGCGCGTACACACACCACCACACGCCACGCACACACGTGGCACGCACGCACGCACGCAGCGCACGCCACACACCACACACACACACAGAGGCTACTCACAGTTTTGGTAGATGCGGCGAACGCGTTGATGCTGACGCCCTCGCGACCGGCACGCGAGGACGGTTTGCTTTTCAAGCGCGCCTTCCTGGCGAACAGTCACAGCGCTGATTTCCTCCGTCGACCTGCAACATTGACCAGGCTAGAAACATGGCCGCTGGTCTCCATGTTTGGGTCTGACCACACGTTACATTCTCAATGTACCCACAAACGTGATCGCACTCAACACTCTCGCATTCAGGCGGTGGGTCAGTCAACGCCATGTAGGCGTATGTTGTCATCAAAGACGTAAGGGTTCATCTTCGTTTGTTCGTTCGTTCGTTCCGTCGTTCGTTCATTCGTTATTGATTTATTGATGTATGGCTATATATATCTATGCTGTACACTGGTAATAGATTAATACTTAAATATATGCTATGACATTTTAATATGGCCGGTAATATAGCAATCACAGTTAGAATTATATAGATAAATAAGTCGATATATTCATGTATTTATTCAAATTAAAATATTTCTATTAAGATATTAAGTTTATTATACAGTAATGAATATAAATAGGCAATAATAAATAATAATAATAATATGATATAATAATAATGAATACATAGTAAACAATAGGCACACACTGGCGTACGATTAATCAGCGTGTTGGTGCCACTGTGAGAGAGATCGTCTCCAGGCACGACTCAAGCCAGGTTGATGAACGTGTTCGCGCGCAGACTCGCTTCACGTCCCTCGCTGTTTATCTGCAGGCATCTGATCGTCTGCCATCAGCTTGCGCGTCGCTGGGCCCCCTTGGTGGGACAAAAAAGCAAGCATTATACATGTATATGCAAGAGCGTATAAGAGATAGCGTGATGATCCGATATGCTGATCCGAATTGTCTTCCGTCGCTAGGGCCCTCTCGTGCGACAAACAGAGCCAAGCATATGATATCTGATCTGTATCCTCTTGCGTCGCTGGGTCTCGTCGTGGCCACAAAAGCAGCAAGCCATTATGATATCTGATCTGTAATCCTGCTTGCCGCTCGCTACGGGGCCTCGTGCGTGGGCGACAAAAGAGGCAAGCATTATGCATATCTGATCTGTATCCTCTTGCGTCGTAGGGCCTCGTCCGTGGACAAAAAGAGGCCCAGCATTATGATTATCTTGATCTGTATTCCTCTTGCGTCGCTAGGCCTCGTCGTGGAGCAAAAGAGCAAGCATCTATGATATCTAATCTGTATCCTTCTTGCCGTCGCTAGGGCCTCGTCGTGCTGACAAAAGAAAGGCAAACATTATATATGATCAGGAAAATAATCATAAATGATGTATCATTGTGGTGAATTACTTTCCCCTTGATAAATTTTTGATAAATATCCTGATGCCGCCTTTCGTGAGTGTGATTATCTACTCTGTGTGATATGCTGAGAATATTAATCAGACAGTCAGACAGACACGAACGCCATTCCGCAGCCGCTGCCCAACTCGCCTAATCTAGTCCGCCGGCCTATAATCACTCAACGTACAGCACGGTAACGTCGGTCTGGGAATGAACGGGCAGCCGAACGTCCGTAATTAGATTGCTCGTCGCGTCGGCGGTCGGCGCTAGGGGCGGCGTCGGTCAGCCTGCCGACGACGCGCGACGACGCCGTCGACGACGCAAACGTCATTAGGTGTCGCCCAAGGCCGAGAGAGGATGTGCGTGCTCATCCGTCGCCATGCGGCCGATGAGCTGTGTGTGCTGCAGTTTGGCGAGGTCGAGTATATACTTGCGCTGGCGTAGTGCGAGCGAGCTCGTGGGAGTTCCCACATGTTGTTCACTTTGCCCGGCCCTCTTCCTCTGCCGCTCCTCCTCTCCCCCCATCCTCCTCTTCCTCCTCCTCCTCCTCCTCCCCGCCTCCTTCTCTTCCTTCTCTCCCCCCTCCTCCCTCCTCCTCTTAGCTCTCTCCTCCTCGTCTTCCTTCCCGTCATTCCTCTTCCTCGCTCCTCCTCCTCCTTCTCCTCCTGCCTCCTCCGTCTCTCGTCCTCCTCCGCGGCACTCCTCCCCCCTCCTCCCCCTCCTCTGCTGCACTTCCGTGACGAAGCGCACCATGACGGCGTGCTCACTACCAGCACGAAGCCGAACCCCAGCTGCGGATGACGTAGCAGCGTGACGTCACGCGGCTCGGGAGGTTCCTCGTCGATGTAGTCGGGCGCCTCGGTTCCTCGTACGTCGTGATCTTGTCAACATGGCTCGCGCACACGCAGAGAAGAAGAGAGAAAACCCGCGAGGGTGGGGGGAGGTTAATGAGATCAGTGAGGTCAAAAGGTCAAACGTAAAAGTGAAAGGTCAAAGCGCGGTCAGAAAGTTGTGGTGGTCAAAGGAGGTCAATGAGCGTGATGAGGTCAAGATACAAGTGAGAAGATGCATTGAAGTTATATCAGTTGAGTAATATTATATATATATATTATATTATTATATATTCCCTCATTCTTCATCGACCTAGGCTGTTTTTTTAGCCTGGATAGATACAAACATATAATATATATATTATATATATATATATATATATATATGTATATACGCAGGTAAAAAAAAACAGCTAGGTCGATGAGAAATGAGGGATGAAGAGAGAATGAATGAGAGAATGACAGAGAGAGAGAGAGACGAGAGAGAGAGAGAGAGAGAGAGAGAGCAGAGAGAGAGAGACAGGGAGAGGGTAACAGAAATGGAACCCAGACGTACTACGGTCAATATAAACCAGCTGCACGCTACACAAGGTTACAATAATATAATGAAGCCAACGTACATAACAACTCTAAGATGAAGCTCCACTGAAAGACCGAATGCAACTAAACTAATACACAATAAGGTCAAACAGAGATGCGATAGACAGATAACGCCCGAGAGACGAGCTGAGAAAATATTCATTTTGACGGACAGAAATGTCAGGGTCATGATAAGTTCTGGGAGACAGCGAGATCAGCACGTTGCGAGCTAACAAGTTTAGGATTCACTAAGAATAAGAGCCACGCGTGCTCGCGTGTGCGTAAGCGCCGGCAACTATAACTCCTCGCCACGATGGTGCGATGTGGGCTGATCAAAACAGAAGGGAACAGCAGCTGTGTGTCCTTCACTCACGGTTCCTATCACAACGTAGGACGCGCGCAAGGAACCGTGTATTATTTATGATGCTATTACGTTGTTGCATTTTATATTTTTCCATTTTCCATTACGTTATTCCGCTCTACTATACGATATTGAGAAATGCGCGAACTCGACGCGAGACAAAAGCAACACGGTCTGTCAGTAACTCACTAAAATTCAGTAAAAACAGAAAAAAAAGGTAACTAACTGAATGAGCAGCAGCCGTTAGCTCCGATGGAGGAGGACGCACACGAGGGGGCCACATGATAGACACCTACGACTCGTGGCGTGTTTACTGCCGGGGAAGTTGTCTTCGATCATTATCGAACACCGTCGTTATGCCGACGTCATGGGGACGTCATTATTAGCAGGATTAGCGACATTAGTGATACCTGGCGGTGCCGCCGCCGTCGCGCTCATCCGTCAGGCCGCACACGCCCCTCGTGCGGTACCCGCGGATGTATAATATGGTTTATATCTACTTCTGATAATATGTAATAATGATGTGGAAGATGGCGCATGCACACTATCATATGTCATATATATATATATATATATATATATAGTATGTGTGTGTGTGTGTGTGGTGTGTGTGTGTGGTGTGTGTGTGTGTGTTGTGTGTTGTGTGTGTGTGTGTGTGTGTGTGTGTGTGTGTGTGTGTGTGTGTGTGTGTGTGTGTGGTGTGTGTGTGTGTGTGTTTGTGTGTGTATGGGTGTGTGTGTGTATGGGTGTGCTGTGTGTGTGTGGTGTGTGTGTGTGTGTGTGTGTTACGTGTACGTGGCAGTGTGCGTGTGCGAATAGGTGTACGTGTACGTGCTAGCGTGTGTAGGCCTACGTCTGGCGTATATGTATATGTATATTTATAGGTACACATATTATACTATACTAGCAGAAAGTATACCCGTAGAACCAGCAAATGTTGTCTTTAATAAACTCCATGTAAGTGACACAGATAAAGTTAAATATTTCATGTACTGAAGAAAACCACTGCACTGCGGTACAACAGAACACTGGCACAGCTACTGGCACTGACTACTGTGTCAGGACGGTGTACGTCAAAGCAGAGTGAGCAGGGGGAATCTGCAGTAGGGGGGGGGGGATCTGAGACTCAGGCACCATCTATTGAGGAATAGATTTTTGTTTGAGCCAGAACCATCTCCCAGACGTGGTGATTCTGAATATGGCTCATACGGCGGCAGTCAGAGACGCAGTGTAATCCCACGTATGTGATGTGGATCTGCGTACGCCACTGCCATGCTATTGACGAATAGGATTTTTTCGAATTTTTGACTTAATACGTTAATACTTAAACTTTTTAAATTTTTTCTCAGCCAGAACCATCTCCCAGACGTGTGTGATTCTGAATATATCTTCAGTTAGCGCGATTGAGTGACAAATCAGGCGAAAAGCGAGGACAAACAACACACACACACACACACACAAGATTAGCCAAATTATAGTATAGAAGATATGACTATAGAGTCATAGACAAAACGCGGTGAGACAAACGCGTGTACGCGTGCTACGGTGCTAAGCAGAGGTTTCGGCCTGGCAGCCATTGTTGTGTGTTTGCGTGGTAATCTCGAATTCGGTCTTCACAAACGTTTCAGCCAGTTAAATGCAGTATAGAGACACGTCTCTAATCTTTAAAGTAACGTAGTTTGGGTTACTACCTAAATCTCTCTAGTTCGCCCTGCTATAGTTCGCACGTGAAACGATGTTAGTTAAAATGAAACCCGAGACACGAGTAGATGTTTTTGTGACGAAAAACCTTTTACGTACGACCACGTGTAGTTAGCAGTGCTGCCAGAAGGGGGCGTACATCTCTTTGTAAGTGATTCAATAGGTTCCTCGCTCGTTTTCTCAGTAAACACTGCGATGCATTGAAATGGCCTGACCGCATGACCGCCCGACCGACCGAGCGACATTTAAAGGAATATAAACTGACATTTACGGCTGATGCTCGTACATGTAATTTTCAATGGGACATGCGTGCAAGAAAAACAACCATTGCTCCGTTGCAGGCTCCGGCAAAACGTTGTCAAACATGGCAACAGTTCCCGTGAGTTCACCATTACAAACAGCGCGTGTGTAGGCCCTGTGAATCATCGGTGTGTGTGTGTGTGTGGGGGGAGGGATCCTGGCCCAAATTGGAAGTGCCTGAGATCACCATAAAAGTCCCAAATCTCGCCCATTTAATTAACTGCTACTCGGTTTAGTCTTAGGTTCGGCTGGTATCGGTCAGAACTTTCAGTGTGAGTGACTGTCAGTGGTGTTCGGTGTCCAGATATGTAACGGAGCAGGTGGTTGTCATCGAGTGACTAACAAGGATATTAATTCTAATTGCTCCTTTTCATTCTCAAGAATTCCTTAACGACTCTTAGCTTCTCTTAATAGAGTAATGCTTACTATTGTAATACTTGCTATAGTAATACCTGCTATAATAATACTTGCTATAGTAATACTTGCTAGAGTAATACTTGCTATTGTAATATTGCTATTGTAATACTTGCTATTGTAATACCTGCTATAGCAATACTTGCTATTGTAATGCTTGTTATTGTAACGCTTTCTATTGTAATACTTGCTATAGTAATACTTGCTATTGTAATACTTGCTATAGTAATACTTGCTATTGTATTACTTGTTATAGTAATACTTGCTATTGTAATACTTGCTATTGTAATACTTGTTATTGTAATGTTTGCTATAGCGATACTTTCCAAGCACCCTGCGCCAAAACCGCTCACTACGAAAAGATTACTCGAAATAATCTCGAATGTTTGAATACGTCGAACGAAATGACAAAAACCCCAGAGGGTTTACATCAAGGTATATCATAATTATACATTAAGGTATATCATAATTATACATCAAGGTATATCAATTAAGCCGCGCAGAGAGCGAACAGAATCGGTACGGCTGCATTTTTATCGCACTCGTAAAATGCACGCTCGCATTCGTTTTCGATATATTGTAAGAAATTTCCTTTCTATTGTTACACAATCCAATATGGCCGCTCGCTTTGAAGTGGGACATGCAACAGTAACCTCCCTACACGATTTGGTCCATGGAAAAGACATGTTTTGAACTATTTTTTCGGTAAAACTCGGCACTAGAGTGCACTAATTTGCATTATGCACGCAGCATAGATGCCTCGTGGACGTCTAGACGGCATTAGAAGTAAGAGTGGTCTTGTCGCGTAATTGTGCCATTCCGACAAGTGTGAAAAATTGTTTCCCCATTTAATGCGTTCGCCATTTCTCGCGAGAACATGACTCAGAATCTCTCGGTTTTTCGATCCAGATTCGCAGGGACTCGGAGGTGACTCCGGCTTTAATCGACAAATGTTCGTGCAAACACCGGAGTGAAAATATCTATAGACACAAGCAATGAACGCGCGCGGGAGGAACAACGTAGTCGATGTGGATTGTAAAATTGAATGGTGGGTGGGCTGCTGGGTATGCACTAAAAATGGTTTGTTTTACTGGTGTAGGCTGAATATCAACGGGGTTTCTTTGAACATGGGGCTGGGTATACCCTATAGGGGGTTGTTCTACTGGGGTAGGCTGACTCTAGAAGGGGTTTCTTTGAATAGGGGGCTTGCGTAGGCCCCCATGTTATATAGTTTCACAGAGTTAGTTTCCAGAGCTTAGAGCTTTTCTCCCCTTCTCTCCCACTCACTCTCTCACTCTCTCTCTCTCTCTCTCTCTCTCTCACGCACGCACGCACGCACGCACGCACGCACGCACGCACGCACGCACACACACACACACACACAGAGCTACTCACAGTTTTGTAGATGGGCGAACCGTTGATGGTGACGCCCTCGGCGAACCGCACGCGAGACGGGTTGCTTTTCAAGCGCGCCTTCTTGGCGACAGTCAACAGCGCTGATTTCCTCGTCGACTGCAACATTGACAGGATAGAAACATGGCCGCTGGTCTCCATGTTTGGGTCTACACACACGTACATTCTCATGTACCACACACGTGATCGCACTCAACACTCTCGCATTCAGGCGGTCAGTGACGATGTAGGGTATGTTGATCATCAAGACGTAAGGGTTCATCCTTCGTTTGTTCGTTCGTTCGTTCGTTCGTTCGTTCATTCGTTTATTGATTTATTGATAGTATGGTAATATATCTATGCCGTACACTGGTAATAGATTTAATACTTAAATATATGCTATGACATTTTAATATGCCGGTAATATATGCAATCAAGTTAGAATATATAATAAATAAGTCGATATATTCATGTATTTATTAAATTAAAATATCTATTAAGATATTAATTTATTAATACAGTAATTAATATAATAGGCAAATAATAATAATAATAATAATAATAATAATGATGAATACATAGTACAATAGGCACACACTGCGTACATTATCAGGTGTTGGTTGGCACACTGTGAGAGAGATCGTCTCCAGGCACGATCGAACCAGGTTGATGACGTGTTCGCGCGCAGACTCCTTCACGTCCTCGCTGTTTATCTGCAGGATCTGATCGTCTGCCATCAGCTTGCCGTCGCTAGGGCCCCCTTGGTGGACAAAAAAGCAAGCATTATACATGATATCAAGAGCGTATAAAGAAGGTGATGATCCGATATCTGATCCGAATTTTCTTGCCGTCGCTAGGCCCTCGTCGTGGACAAAAGAGCAAGCATTATGATATCTGATCTGTATCCTCTTGCCGTCGCTAGGGTCTCGTCGTGGACAAAAGAGCAAGCATTATGATATCTGATCTGTATCCTCTTGCCGTCGCTAGGGCCTCGTCGTGGACAAAAGAGCAAGCATTATGATATCTGATCTGTATCCTCTTGCCGTCGCTAGNGCTCCTCCTCCTCCTCCTCTTCCTCCTCCTCCTCCTCCTCCCCCCTCCTTCTCTTCCTTCTCCTCCCCCTCCTCCTCCTCCTCTTCCTCCTCCTCCTCGTCTTCCTCCTCGTCTTCCTCTTCCTCCTCCTCCTCCTCCTTCTCCTCCTCCTCCTCCGTCTCTTCGTCCTCCTCCCCCCTCCTCCCCCCTCCTCCCCCTCCTCCGCTCACCTTCTGTGACGAAGCGCACGATGACGGGTTTTTCACTACCAGCCACGAAGCCGAACCCCAGCTGCGGATGACGTAGCAGCGTGACGTCACGCGGCTCGGGAGGTTCCTCGTCGATGTAGTCGGGCCTCGGTTCCTCGTACGTCGTGATCTTGTCAACATGGCTGCGCACGCAGAGAGAGAGAGAAACCCCGGAGGGTGGGGGGAGGTTAATGAGATCAGTGAGGTCAAAGGTCAAACGTAAAAGTGAAAGGTCAAAGCGGTCAGAAAGTTGTGGTGGTCAAAGGAGGTCAATGAGCGTGATGAGGTCAAGATACAAGTGAGAGATCATTGAAGTTATATCAGTTGAGTAATATTATATATTATATTATATATATATATTCCCTCATTCTTCATCGACCTAGCTGTTTTTTTACCTGGTATATACAAACATATATATATATATATGTATATACCAGGTAAAAAAAACAGCTAGGTCGATGAAGAATGAGGGAATGAAAGAGAGAATGAATGAGAGAATGACAGAGAGAGAGAGAGAGAGAGAGAGAGAGAGAGAGAGAGAGAGAGAGAGAGAGAGAGAGAGAGAGAGAGAGA